CAAATATATACACACACACCTACATACACACATATACATATACACATGCACACATACATACACATACACACATATATATCCAAGCACACACAAATATACATACACATACGTCTACATACACACATATGCATATACACATGCACACATACATACACATACGTATATATATACCCAAGCACACACAAATATACACACACATACATCTGCATGCACACACATATACACATGCACACATACATATACACATATAATCACTCAAATATATACACACATTTATACACATCTACACACACCCATATGCAGGCACATATGTACAACCACACCCACACACCCACCCACACATACACACAGACATATATATGCAAACACACATATACACACAGATACACAAATATATATACACATATAAACACATATATATGCACACACAAAACACATATATACAGACTGGGCCACAGCAACACGTGGCAGGTAACAGTTAGTATACACACACACACACAAACACACACACACAGAGGCACACCTCTAAGAAAAGTACAGTAAGTAAAGAACAACACTAAAAAAACACAAAGGAATTCCAGATAAGAAACAATCAGGGCCAGCTAACACCTCCTAACAAAGGATTCCCTCAGGCAGGAAGCAGCCAGTCCTTGAATCTGCAAGGCCATTCAATGCTAATCAAGGTGGCCAATTGCTACATTAATATTTGCCTCAAACAGACAAGAGTTATTCCTCTCACCCTGGACTTTTACATAGATATATAAACCCCTCTTGCCAAGTTTCCAACAGACGTCACAACCTCTGAGGATGCCTGCCATAGATGCGGACGAAACGTCAGGAGAGAATGCTTCTGGAACATGGACAGACAGGCTGGAAAACTCACAGCAACCCAGCTAAATCTGAGCTCCCATAAGAGCTCTCCAAGGTGCTGAACACTGGCAGCAAAGCAAGTGAAATCTGAGCTCCCAAAAGAACTCTCCAAGGTGCTGAACCTGTGGCCACAAATAAAGTAAGATGCTTGGAGAATAGAGCTGGAGGCCTCTGGGAGTTGAAGTCCTCTGGGGCTGGGGGGCAACAGTTTCTGAACGGCTAAGGCAAGCATGAGCAAACTTGAGCCCTCCAGGTGTTTTGGACTCCAACTCCCACAATTCCGAGCAGCCGGTGGGAGTTGAAGTCCAAAACACCTGGAGGGCCCGTTTGCCCATGCCTGGGCTAAGGCTTCAGGAACAGCTCTGCACTTCCTGAGCCAGCAACAAGGGCGCATGCGTGAAGATGCGTAAAGCAACTGCAGCGGGGCCGAGGTGGGGGCGTGGCTAACATGGGAGCGGGATGTCCATCCAAAAAGGGGCGGGGAAAACATAGCTAAGGGCTCCTCCCACTTCTAGACACCGTTGAAGGAGATTCTGTGGTTCTATGTGTTGTCGAAGGCTTTGATGGCCAGAATCAGTGGGTTGCTGTGAGTTTTCCGGGCTGTCTGGCTATGTTCCAGAAGCATTCTCTCCTGACGTTTCACCCACATCCATGGCAGGCAATATTAAAGGCTGTGAGATCACAGTGGAACTCTCTCGGGCCCGGAGTGTGGTGCAGGCTCCTTCTTTGGAGGCTTTTAAAGAGAGGCTGGATGGCCATCTGTCGGGGGTGCTTTGAATGGGATTTTCCTGCTTCTTGGCAAAATGGGGTTGGACTGGATGGCCCATGAGGTCTCTTCCAACTCTGTTTCTATGTTTCATTGCTATCTCATCCAGAGTTTTATCATTTTATGTCGGGCATTTGGCCCTCCCACTGTGTTTGATTTTCCAGTATGTTATTTTGTACTGTTTATTTTACTTGATTGGTTCATTTATTTTATTGCAATTTTATTTTGTTGTTTATATTTCATGTTGCTGTAATGTATTTCTGGATTTCAGTAAGGCCTTCGACAAGGTCCCCCATGACCTTCTGGCAAACAAACTAGACCAATGTGGGCTAGGCAAAACTATGGTGAGGTGGATCTGTAATTGGTTAAATGGATGAACCCAGAGGGTGATTCTCCCCAAGGCTTCCTCTTCATCCTGGAAAGAAGTGACGAGCAGAGTGCCATCAGGAGGGTTCCGTCCTGGGCCCGGTCCTGTTCAACATCTTTATTAATGACTTAGATGAAGGGCTAGAAGGCAGGATCATCAAGTTTGAAGACAACACCAAATTGGGAGGGATAGCCAAGACTCCAGAGGACAGGAGCAGGATTCAAAACGATCCTGACAGATTAGAGAGATGATGGGCCAAAACTAACAAAATGAAGTTCAACAGTGACAAATGCAAGATACTCCACTTTGGCAGAAAAAAACAAAATTCAAAGATACAGAATGGGGGATGCCTGGCTGGAGAGCAGTATGTGTGAAAAAAATCTTGGAGTCCTTGTGGACAACAAGTTAAACATGAGCCAACAATGTGATGTGGTGGCAAAAAAAGCCAATGGGATTTTGGCCTGCATTAATAGGAGCAGAGTGTCTAGATCTAGGGAAGTCATGCTACCCCTCTATTCCGCTCTGGTTAGACCACACGTGGAATATTGTGTCCGATTCTGGGCACCACAATTCAAGAGAGATATTGACAAGCTGGAATGTGTCCAGAGGAGGGCAACTAAAATGATCAAGGGTCTGAAGAACAAGCCCTATGAGGAGCAGCTTAAGGAGCTGGGCATGTTTAGACTGAAGAAGAGAAGGCCGAGAGGAGATATTATAGCCATGTATCAATATGTGAGAGGAAGCCACAGGGAGGAGGGAGCAAGCTTGATTTCTGCTTCCCTGGAGACTAGGACGCAATGGAACAATGGCTTCAAACTGCAAGAAAGGAGATTCCATCTGAACACAAGGAAGAACTTCCTGACTGTGAGAGCCGTTCAGCAGTGGAACTCTCTGCCCCGGAGTATGGTGGAGGCTCCTTCTTTGGAAGCTTTTAAACAGAGGCTGGATGGCCATCTGTCAGGGGTGATTTAAATGCAATATTCCGGCTTCTTGGCAGAATGGGGTTCGACTGGATGGCCCAGGAGGTCTCTTCCAACTCTTTGATTCTATGATTCTCTGATTCTATTGCTGGGCCAAGCCTCATGTAAGCCCCTCCAAGTCTCCTTTAGTAGATGGTGGCGGGCTATAAATAAAGTTTATTATTATTATTTTACTGACACAAAACCACAGTACGGTCACAGCAAATGAGATCTATATGCTGGATTATATATGCTGGATTATCTGATCTCATACAATAATAATAATAATAATAATGATGTGAGAGCTGTTCAGCTGTGGAACTCTCTGCCCTGGAGTGTGGTGGAGGCTCCTTCTTTGGAGGATTTGAAACAGAGGCTGGATGACCATCTGTTGGGGGTGCTTTAAATGGGATTTTCCTGTTTCTTATAGAATCATAAGAATCCTAGAGTTGGACGAGACCTCATGGGCCATCCAGTCCAACCTCATTCTGCCAAGAAGCAGGAAAATTGCATTCAAAGCACTCCTGACAGATGGCCATCCAGCCTGTGTTTAAAAGCTTCCAAAGAAAGAGCCTCCACCACACTCTGGGGCAGGGAGTTCCACTGCTGAACGGCTCTCACAGTCAGGAAGTTCTTCCTAATGTTCAGGTGGAATCTCCTTTCTTGTAGTTTGATACCATTGCTCCATTGCATCCTAGTCTCCAGGGCAGCAAAAAACAAGCTTGCTCCCTCCTCCCTGTGGCTTCCTCTCACCTATTTATACATGGCCCTCATCATATCTCCTCTCAGCCTTCTCTTCTTCAGGCTAAACATGCCCAGCTCTTTAAGCTGCTCCTCATAGGGCTTGTTCTCCAGACCCTTGATCAGTTGAGTCACCCCCCTCTGGACACATTCCAGCTTGTCAATATCTCTTGGCAGAATGGGGTTGGACTGGATGGCCCACGAAGTCTCTTCCAACTCTAGGATTCTATGTGAGAGTTGTTCAGCAGTGGAACTCTCTGCCCCGGAGTGTGGTGGAGGCTTTTAAACAGAAGCTGGATGGCTATCTGTTGTTGGTGCTTTGAATGGGATTTTTGTTCTAATTGGCAGAATGGGGTTGGACTGGATGCCCCACGAGGTCTCTTTCAAGTCTAGGATTCTATGTGAGAGCTGTTCAGCAGTGGAACTCTCTTCCCTGGAGTGTGGTGGAGGCTCCCTCTTTGAAGGCTTTTCAACAGAGTTTGGATGGCTATCTGTTGAGGGTGCTTTGAATTGGATTTTTGTTCTAATTGGCAGAATGGGGTTGGACTGGATGGCCCACGAGGTCTCTTCCAACTCTAGGGTGGATGACCATCTGTTGGGGGTGCTTTGAACGGGAGTTTCCTGCTTCTTGGCAGAATGGGGTTGGACTGGATGCCCATGAGGTCTCTTCCAACTCTAGGATGGATGAACATCTGTTGGGGGTGCTTTGAACGGGAGTTTTCTGCTTCTTGGCAGAATGGGGTTGGAGTGGATGGTAGCTGTTAGAAGCAGCCAGGCTTTGAAGCTGCAAGGCCATTCAATACTAATTGCAAGATTGACACTTGCCTCAACCAACTCTAGGATTGGCATGTTGTAGGTTTTTCTGGGCTATATGGCCATGTTCTAGAGGTATTCTCTCTGGGTGTGAATGTTTCAGCTGACCACCTTCATTAGCATTTGACAGCCTGGCTGAGCCTGGGAAAATGTTCTATTGAGAGGTGTTAAGATGTGCCTGGTTGTTTCCTCTCTGCTGTTTTGCTGTAGTAATTTTAGAGTTTTTTAATATCGGTAGCCAGATTTTGTTCATTTTCATGGTCTCCTCCTTTCTGTTGAAATTTCTGTTGAAATCTCCTTTCTTGTAGTCTGAAGCCATTGCTCCATTGTTCAGGTCTCTTCCAACTCTAGAATTCTATCATTCTAGGTCTGTGGTTCTCTTTCACAGCAGTAAAGGGGGTGTGGCTCAACGCGGGAAGAGAGGGGCGTGGCGACAGGAGTCCCCGCCCACTCCGTTGGGTATAAATACGAGCGGAGTGCGGAGCTCTTCCGCAGAAGGTTGTCTCTTCCTCTGCTGCTCCTTCTCCTTCTTCTTCTCTCTGAGGGAAACTCGGGCAAGACGATGAGCTCGTTCGGCTACGAGACGTACTTCCCGGCCTACAAGCGCCGCTTCGCCGACGGCGGGGTCTCCTCGTCGCCGTCGTCGCGGGTGCGGGGCTTGGGCTACGGGGCGTCCTCCCGCTCGACCTACTCGAGCCTGTCTGCGCCGCTGTCGTCGGTGTCGGTGCGGCGGAGCTACGCGGCGTCGTCGTCGGCCTCGTCGTCGTTCTCGGCGGCGCTGGCGGCGGAGAGCCTGGACCTGACGCAGGTGGCGGCGCTGAGCAACGACCTGAAGGCCATCCGGAGCCAGGAGAAGGCGCAGCTGCAGGACCTGAACGACCGCTTCGCCTGCTTCATCGAGCGCGTCCACGAGCTGGAGCAGCAGAACAAGGCGCTGGAGGCGGAGCTGCTGGGCTTGCGGCAGAGGCACGCCGAGCCCTCGCGCTTCCGCGCCCTCTACGAGCAGGAGATCCGCGAGCTGCGCCTCGCCGCCGAGGAGGCCGGCCACGAGCGAGCCGCGCTGCAAGGAGAGCGCGAGGGGCTGGAGGAGACGCTGCGGGCGCTGGCCGGGCGCGTCGAGGAGGAGGCCGCCGCCCGCGAGGAAGCCGAAGCCCGCCTCTTGGAGGCGCGCAAGGCCGCCGACGAAGCCGCGCTGGGCCGCGCCGAGCTGGAGAAGCGCGTCGACTCGCTCCTCGACGAGCTGGCCTTCCTCAAGAAGGTGCACGAGGAGGAGCTGGCCGAGCTGCAAGCCCAGGTGGCCCAGCAAGGCGCCCAGCTCTCCGCCGAGGCCGACCTGGGCGCCAGCGCCAAGCCCGACCTCTCCGCCGCCCTCCGCGACATCCGCGCCCAGTACGAGCGCCTCGCCGCCCGCAACATGCAGAACGCCGAGGAGTGGTTCCGCAGCCGCTTCTCCGTCCTCTCCGAGAGCGCCGCCAAGAACACCGACGCCGCCCGCGCCGCCAAGGACGAGGTGGCCGAGAGCCGGCGCCTCCTCAAGGCCAAGACCCTCGAGATCGAGGCCACGCGCGGAGCCAACGAGGCCCTCGAGAAGCAGCTCCAGGAGCTCGAGGAGAAGCACAACTCAGACCTCGCCGCACTCCAGGTGGGCACCAAGGGGGGGGGGCGGATACCGGGGGGGGTTGCCGCGGATACGGGGGAGGGTATCTAGATCACAAGTTAGAGGAGAAGCACATCGCCACCCTCCAGGTGGGCACAAAGTGGGATCCGCGGATACCGGGGAGGGAGATTGCCACGGATACGGGGGAGGGTATCTAGATCGCGGATACGGGGGAGGGTATCTAGTTCAGGAGTTAGAGGAGAAGCACAATGCCGACCTCAAAGTGGGTACAAAGGGGTACCCGCAGATACGGGGGGAGAGGGGAACAAAGGTTGCTGCGGATACGGGGGAGGGTATCTAGATCAGGAGCTCAAGGAGAAGCACAATGCCGACCTCAAAGTGGGCACCAATGGGGACCTGCAGATACCAGGGGAGGAAGATTGCCGCGGATACGGGGGAGGGTATCTAGATCAGGACTTAGAGGAGAAGCACATCACCGCCTTCCAGGTGGGAACAAAGGGGGACCCACGGATACCGGGGGAGGGGGAAGGTTGCCACAGATAAGGGGGAGGGTATCTAGATCAGGAGCTCAAGGAGAAGCACAATGCCGATCTTGAAATGGGCACCAAGGGGGACCCGCGGATACGGGGGGAGAGGGGAAGGAAGATTGCTGCGGATACAGGGGAGGGTATCTAGATCAGGAGCGTAAGGAGAAGCATAATGCTGGCTTCGTTGCCCTCCAGGTGGGCACCAAGGGGGCCCGCGGATACCAGGGGAGAGGGGAAGGAAAGTTGCTGCGGATACGGGGGAGGGTATCTAGTTCAGGAGTTAGAGGAGAAGCACATCACCATCCTCCAGGTGGGCACCAAGGGGGACCTGTGGATACCGAGGGGGAGGGGAAGGAAGGTTGCCGCGGATACAGGAGAGGGTAGCTAGATCAGGAACTCGAGGAGAAGCAGAACACTGACCTCGCTGCCCTCCAGGTGGGCACCAACGGGGGCCCACAGATACGGGGGAGGGTATCTAGTTCAGGAGTTAGAGGAGAAGCACATCACCGCCCTCCAGGTGGGCACCAAGGCGGACCCGCGGATACCGGCGGAGGGAGATTGCTGCGGATACGGGGGAGGATATCTAGATCAGGAGCTCGAGGAGAAGCACAATGCCGACCTTGCCACCCTCCAGGTGGGCACCAACGGGGCCCCCCCCCCCGGATACCGAGGGGAAGGATATGGGGGAGAGGAAGGTTGCCACGGATGGGAGGACATCGAGACCAGGAGTTTGAGAAGAAACATTGCTGCCCTCCAGGTGGGAAGGAGGAGAGATCTGTGAATATAGGGAAATGAGGAAGGTTGCCAGGGATGGGGGGAGCATCTAGATCAGGAGCTTGAAGAGAAGCATAATGCAGCTCTCCAAGTGGGAAGGAGAGGGACCTGCAGATAGGGGTGCGGGGGTGGGGGAAGGAGGAAGGTAGCGGTGGATACGAGGATGGGAGGGCATTTCAATCAGGAGCCCCAAAAGACATCTAGACAGACCCCTCTTCTGTAGAGTTACAGGAATGCCCACCTTCCCCTTCCATAGGATTGTAGGGACCCCAAAGGACATCTAGACAGACCCCTCTCCTGCAGAGATACAAGAAGGCCTGCCTTCCCTTTCCATAGGAGTGTAGGAACCCCAAAGGACATCTAGACAGACCCCCCTTTCCTGCAAAATACAAGTGGGCCCTCCCTCCCTATCTGTAGGATTTTAGGGACCCCAAAGGATATCTAGACAGACCCCTATCCTGCAGAGATACAGGAAGGCCTGCATTCCTTTTCCATAGGATGTAGGGACCCCAAAGGACATCTAGATAGACCCCCGTTTCCTGCAGGAATACAAGCGGGCCCTCCCTCCCTATCTATAGAACGATCTACATCCCCAGACTCAGAGCTGTTTAGGGACCCTATGATTCTATCTAGGCCATCCAATCTGACCCCTCTCTGTCTTGCAAGAAGACATAGAATGGTAGAGACTCTGCTCATTCTAAAGGACATCCACCTCTTTTGCCCTGCAGGACATGCATCCCTGCTATAAAACACACTTTTGAAGGCGTGATCAAGCTAAGCCATCCAGTCTGTCTCCATCCTGCCCTGCATGAATACATGATATCATAGGGAATCCCAAAGACCACCCAGTCCAACCCCCATTTGACCTAGAGGCAACCACTGGTTGTGGAATTGATAGAGCCCCAAAAGACATCTAGTCCAACTACTTTTTGCTATTCTGGTGAACCACCTCCTCTCCATCGGATGAATTAAGGAGCAGAATATTGCCTGAAAGTGGCATCAGATGGAAAGGGCGAACCCAGGGTTATTTCCTCTCGCAATCTATATAAATAAAAATGTAATGTTCGTTTGTGGTATTAACGTAACTCAAAAACCACTGGGCGAATTGACATCAAATGTGGACACAAGACACCGCTCAGGCCAACAAGCGACCATCACTCACAAAAACACTGAGAAACACAGCAGAAGAGACTTAAAAAGCCAAAAAATCCCACAAACATTACAACACATGCACAAAACCACACACACATACGCAAACACACATATACACAAATATATATACACACACACATACAAAGCACATATACACAGACTGGGCTGCAGCAATACATGGCATGGCTAGTATATAAATAAATAAATGTAATGTTCGTTTGTGGGACTAACATAACTCAAAAACCACTGGATGAATTGACACCAGATTTGGACACAAGACACCAATCAGGCCAATGAGTGACCATCACTCATAAAAACACTGAAAAACACAGCAGAAGAGACTTAAAAAGCCAACCCCCCCCCCCACAAAAATACATTACAACACATGCGCAATATATATATATATATACACACACACACACACACACACAAACACTAGTGGGGGACAGAGGTTTGAAAAACCTCCAGAGAACAAGACTCCATCACAATTCACGGAAGCATATTATTGTTTCCCAGATGTCAAGATGGAATCTATTTTCCTGCACTTCAAATCTATTTCTCTGTGTCCTAGTATCTGGAGCCGAAGAAATAATACTTAGTCTGTTGGAAACTAGGCAAGTGGGTTTCTATCTATCTATCTATATATCTATTTCTGTGGAATGTCCACAGTGGGAAAAATAACTCTTGTCTGTTGGAGGCAAGTGTGAATGTTGCAATTGGCTAGCTTGGTTAGCATTGAATGGCCTTGCAGCTTCAAAACCTCACTGCTTCCTGCCCAGGGGATCCTTTGTTGGGAGGTGGAATGCCTCCAGGCAGGAAGCAGCCAGGCTTTGAAGCTGCAAGGCCATTCGATGCTAATCAAGATGGCCAATTGCAACATTCACACTTGCCTCCAACAGACAAGAGTTCTTTCTCCCACCCTGGACCTTCCACAGCCAGGCTTTGAAGCTGCAAGGCCATTCGATGCTAATCAAGATGGCCAATTGCAACACTCACACTTGCCTCCAACAGACAAGAGTTCTTTCTCCCACTCTGGACATTATTCCACAGGTATATAAACCCCACTTGCCTAGTTTCCATCAGACATCACAACCTCTGAGTATGCTTGCCATAGATGTGGGTGAAACGTCAGGAGAGAATGCTTCTGGAACATGGGCATACAGCCTGGAAAACTCACAACAATCCAGTGATTCTTGCCATGAAAGCCTTCAACAACAATTTATCTGATTCTTGACTAATCATTGTCCATCAGCATTGATTATTCTTGGAGTTCCAGCACAATCCCATGCTTGGATTTACTTCTGCATAAATGTGCATAAAATACTATTGTTGTTTATTTTTTTTGTTATGAGTTTTATTTTATTGTCTGTATTAATTGTTGTTATTGCTTTATCATTGATGTATTGTGGGCTCGGCCTCATATAAGCCACACCGAGTTCCTCAGGAGATGGTAGCGGGGTATAAATAAAGATTATTATTATTATTATTATTATTACTACTCCCTGAGCTGATTTCAATGGGTTGGATTAAATTGTTGCGGTCTTTAGGGGGTATTCCTGCATAGATTCAGTTGATGAACACAACAATCCAAGTAATTTGATCGTAAATGTATCTATTGGAGTCAAAGGCAGAATGGATGAGAATATGAAACACCAAGGAATGGAGGGATCCTCCCCATAGATCAGTGTTTCTCAACCTGGGGGTCGGGACCCCTGGGGAGGGGGTCATGAGGGGGTTTCAGAGGGGTCGCCAAAGACCATCAGAAAACACATATTTCTGATGGTCTTAGGAACCCTTTTGGCAGAGAAGGCTGAAGATCTCTCTGCCTGTCCTCATCCTTGTTGGTGTTGGTGAATGACAACTCCCAGAATTCAAAAACCCCCCCCAACCCCACCAGTAGTTAATGTTGGCCATGTCGGTAGTGTGCCAAGTTTGGTGCAGATCCATTTTGGGCTGGGTTCAGAGTGCTATTTGATTATAGGTTAACTATAAATCCCAGCAATTACAACTCCCAAATGTCAAGGTCTATTTTCCCCAAACTCCACCAGTGTTCACAATTGGGCATATTGAGTATTCATGCCAAGATTGGTCCAGATCCATCACTGTTTGAGTCCACAGTGCTCTCTGGATGTAACTACAACTCCCAAACTCAAGGTCAATGCCCACCAAACCCTTCTGGTATTTTCTCTTGTTCTTGGGAGTTCTGTGTGCCAAATTTGGCTTGATTCTTTTGTTGGTGGAGTTCAGAATGCTCTTTGATTATAGGTTAACTATAAATCCCAGCAACTACAACTCCCAAATGACAAAATGAATCCCCCCCCCCAACCCTACCAGTTTTCAAATTTGGGCATATTGGCTATTTGTGTCAAATTTGGTCCAGTGAATGAGAATACATCCTGCATATCAGATATTTACATTAGGATTTATAACAGTAGCAAAATTACGAGGTACCAATGGAAATAATGTTATGGTTGCGGGTCACCAACACATGAGGAACTGCATTAAGGGGACACGGCATTAGGAAGGTTGAGAAGCACTGCCATAGATCAAGCAGATGTTGAGCTGGACCACACCCATTCAGCGGGGAAGGTCTTTGTACTCAACATCTCTCGATAACTTTCTTTCTATGTTAGTCTATGGATGGAAAAGTGGAATATGTGACAGTTGTGTTGGTTAAAATTCAGTATTGTTTTTGGAATTGCAGATTTGCAGGCAAAGGTCTTTTGTGACCCCCCCCCCTTTTTTTTCCAGGAAGTGTTTAACGTGCCGCAATAGCAGGGCTGAAGCAGATAATGGTGCAATGCACCATCTTCCAGTGGAGGTCCCCACCCAGGCTTCTGCTTCACCTAGTTGAATCTGGGAGCTGTCCACCAGCCCAGTGCTGAAATGCCTACTGGCATAGTGCAATCCAAGACTGACACTGTATTGGTTGTATCTTCTAAAGCACAGAATAGGCAGTTTTGTGGCTGTAGATGAGATCTACAAACAAATCAAGATTCAAGCTAATGCATTTTTAAGTGTCTTTAATAAATTAGACTATTCTGACTACTATCACAGTACCCTTGTGATCAAAGAAGACTGCAGAGTCAGCACCTTATATTTTCATTTCAAGTTATTTGGCTTAATTCATTTTAAGATTAAGCTGGATGGGCAGATGATGTAGACCAGGGGTCCTCAAACTTTTTAAACAGAGGGCCAGGTCACAGTCCCTCAAACTGTTGGAGGGCCGGATTATAATTTGAAAAAAAAAAAGAATAAATTCCTATGCACACTGCACATATCTTATTTTTAATGCAAAAAACCCACTTTAAAACAATACAATAATTAAAATGAATAACAATTTTGGCAAATATAGACTTATTGGTATTTCAATGGGAAGTGTGGGCCTGCTTTTGGCTGATGAGATAGCATTGTTGCTATTGTGTGCTTTCAAATAATTTCAGACTTAGGTTGACCCTGAGCGAGGGCCGGGTAAATGAGCTTGGAGGGCCACATCCGGCCCCCGGGCCTTAGTTTGAGGACCCCTGATGCAAACAGTTAAGTAGTGTTTATTGACCCATAGGTAAAGGTAAGGGTTTTCCCCTGACATAAAGTCCAGTCGTGTCTGACTCCGGGGGCTGTTGCTCATCTCCATTTCTACGCCGAAGAGCCGGTGTTGTCCATAGACACCTCCAAGGTCATGTGGACAGCATGACTGCATGGAGCACCGTTGCCTTCCCACCGGAGCGGTACCTATTGATCTACTCACATTTGCATATTTTCGAACTGCTAGGTTGGCAGAAGCTGGGGCTAGCAGCAGGAGCTCAGCCTGCTCCCTGGATTCGAACCATACAAACAAGATTGTCCCTTCAGAAATTTCGTATTCAGCATTGAACAGAGACTTGGTAAAACATGAGACAGAAAATATGCTGATGATTTATTGTTTTGTTTTGAGCTTGTCTAATTTAACTCTTGTATCAGTTTTGTGCCCTTTTGTGTTTTATCAGAATTGATTTAAAATGGGATGTATTGAAAAACAAAAAAGTAGAAAATAACATTTTAATGCAAGCTAGAGGACAATCTGTGCTGTGAATCTGTCACACATGTTGGCAGTTCCAACTTTCTCTATCAGTTCTGCAAAGCCATGATGGTATCTTAAGCCTAAATGCAACTAAGTCCGAGCTGGAGTGAGGTCATGTAAACCTTATTGCCTCAGTGGCATACTCTAATTGGGTCTCCTAGTTGGATTTGCGTCTAGGACTGTGGTGCAGATGGCTGGGAGTCAGCTGCATTAAGATCACTACTGACCGAAAGGTCATGAGTTCAAAGCCAGCTCGGGTTGGAGTGAGCTTCCAACCAATTTGTGTAGCTTGCTGTCGACCTTTGCAGCCCAAAAGACAGTTGCATCTGTCAAGTAGGAAATTTAGGTACCGTGTATGTGGGGAGGCTAATTTAACTAATTTATGATGCCATAAAAATCTCCAGCAAGCATGCAAAGAATGAGGAAGTACTTAGTGTCACAAATGGATAGTGAAGCAACAGCTCCCCTGGTGGCCAGAATACCCTCATTAAAAAAGCTGTAATATTAAATAGCCTCTCTGTGTCTGTCTATAATAAGCTATGCTTGGTGATTGACTCTTGCCTATATCATCAGTTGGGAGCCCCCTCCCCCACCCCAGCTTCAACTGCTGCTCTGGGCCAGAGGGATGAGAGAGAGGGGCAGAAGATAGTTCCATCTTCTCTCTTGTGCTTTACTAATAATATAATATAATATAATATAATATAATATAATATAATATACATATAATATTTATAATATAATGTAATACAATTTAATACTAATAATAATAATAATGCAATATTATAATTATATATATTTATATTACATATAATATTACTAATAATATTACAATATAATGGTATAGTTCAATATAGTAATATATAATACTGATATTGTACTATGCTAATAATATAATATATTGTATGTATGTATATATATCTTGTAAGCTTCTCTGAGTCCCCTTTGGGTGAGAAGGGCAGCATATAAATATCGTAAATAAATAAATAAATAAATAAATACATGCACAGATTGCATGAAAAGTAGATCCATATCCAAGTTCTTTTTCATATCCAAGTAGATCCATATCCAAGTTCTTTTTTCGATAGAGTTACAAGCTGGGTAGATGCGGGGAATGCCGTGGATGTAGCGTACCTGGATTTCAGGAAGGCCTTCAACAAGGTCCCCCATGACCTTCTGGCAAGGAAACTAGTCCAATGTGGGCTAGGCAAAACTACGGTGAGGTGGATCTGGAATTGGTTAAATGGACGAACCCAGAGGGTGCTCACCAATGCTTCCTCTTCATCTTGGAAAGAAGTGACAAGTGGAGTGCCGCAGGGTTCTGTCCTGGGCCCGGTCCTGTTCAACATCTTTATTAATGACTTAGATGAAGGGCTAGAAGGCAGGATCATCAAGTTTGCAGACGACACCAAATTGGGAGGGAGAGCCAATACTCCAGAGGACAGGAGCAGGATTCAAAGGGATCTTGACAGATTAGAGAGATGGGCCAAAACTAACAAAATGAAGTTCAACAGTGACAAATGCAAGATACTCCACTTTGGCAGGAAAAACGAAATGCAAAGATATAGAATGGGGGATGCCTGGCTCAAGACCAGTACATGTGAAAAAGATCTTGGAGTCCTCGGGGACAACAAGTTAAACATGAGCCAACAATGTGATGTGGCAGCAAAAAAAGCCAATGGGATTTTGGCCTGCATCAATAGGAGCATAGTGTCTAGATCTAGGGAAGTCATGCTACCCCTCTATTCTGCCTTGGTCAGACCACACCTGGAATATTGTGTCCAATTCTGGGCACCACAATTCAAGAGAGATATTGACAAGCTGGAATGTGTCCAGAGGAGGGCGACTAAAATGATCAAGGGTCTGGAGAACAAGCCCCATGAGGAGCGGCTTAGGGAACTGGGCATGTTTAGCCTGAAGAAGAGAAGGCTGAGAGGAGATATGATAGCCATGTATAAATATGTGAGAGGAAGCCACAGGGAGGAGGGAGCAAGCTTGTTTTCTGCTTCCCTGGAGACTAGGACGCAGAACAATGGCTTCAAACTACAAGAGAGGAGATTCCATCTGAACATGAAGGAAGAACTTCCTGACTGTGAGAGCCGTTCAGCAGTGGAACTCTCTGCCCCGGAGTGTGGTGGAGGCTCCTTCTTTGGAAGCTTTTAAGCAGAGGCTGGATGGCCATCTGTCAGGGGTGATTTGAATGCAATATTCCTGCTTCTTGGCAGGGGGTTGGACTGGATGGCCCATGAGGTCTCTTCCAACTCTTTGATTCTATGATTCTATGATTCTTGTTCCAATTACAAGGGACCCATTTGGATGAATTTAATCTGTATTGATACTTCACCACTAAGCAGTTGACTAAAAAGATTTGACTCCAGTTGGGATAAGTAATTGCATTTACGCTGCCCCATTGATTTCAGCAGTGCTTCACTTACCATATCTAAGTCTTCCTTTTTTTAAAAAAAAAACTTTCATGAAAGTCTTGTTTGCTTGAAGGAAGAAAAGTATGGTGGAGGAGCATGAGTATGTAGGCCTCCCAGTGAAGTTAAGCTGCACTCCCATGTGCCTGAGTCAGGGTGGCCAATGTTTGGAGTTGCAGTCTAACATGATACGGGGCTCCATTCATTTCCTACCTGCACAAGAATGAACGTGTTCATGCAATTTACCCTTTTTGTTTATTCCCAACAGGACACCGTCAATAAGTTAGAAAATGAACTGCGAACCACAAAGAGTGAAATGGCCAGGTATCTGAAGGAATATCAGGATCTTCTCAATGTCAAAATGGCTCTGGATATTGAAATTGCAGCATACAGGTAATTTGGGGCAGAGGAATATATAGTCATGCATTTGGTTAAATTGTGGATTTCGTTGTCAGGTTATTTAGGTGGGATATGGAATGGCAACTAATGAACGAGTTTTTTCCTCCCCATCCCTCTAGTTCCAACACAGCAAATTGATTCTTATTGGCTTCATTGAAAATGTAAGACGGTGGTTCCCAACCTGTGGTCAGAAACTAAAATATGGTCCACAGCCTCACTGTTACTATACCGTTGCAACTGGTCTCGCGAAACTCTCTTATAGTGCTGAGGCATCTTAAATAAGGCTTTCTGTGGGTGAGCAGATGGCAACTATTGGATGGTATATGTTCTCGATCAGAAACTAGAGCTGATGTTGTCTATCCAATGGAATTTCAGAATTGGCACCCCAAATAACCAGTCTGAATCTAAAGTTGACCAAAAACTGAACTGTAACCCTTTTGGTACTCATTTTGGAGAATGGTCCCTGGTCAAGTCGTCCCTGGTCAAAAAAGGATTGGGAACCACTGATGTAGGACATTGGTCTTGTCTACTCATTGGAGTCTGCCAAGAGGAAGGGCAGACTTGTTTTGTCTAGTTAAAACACTAGACAAAGGCCTTTTAAATATATCCCTAGTATTCCAATGGATGTGAGAGCTTTGGACTATAGGGAAGGCTGAGTGAAGGAAGAGAGATGCTTTTGAACTGTAGTGCTGGAGGAAAGTTCTGAGAGTGCCTTGGACCGCAAGAAGATCCAACCAGTCCATCCTCCAGGAAATAATGCCTGGCTGCTCACTGGAGGGAAGGATAGTAGAGGCCAAGATGAAGTCCTTTGGCCACGTCATGAGAAGAAAGGAAAGCTTAGAGAAGACAGTTATGCTGGGAAAAGTGGAAGGAAAAGGGAAGAGGGGCCGACCAAGGGCAAGATGGATGGATGGCATCCTTGAAGTGACTGGATTGACCTTGAAGGAGCTGGGGGTGGTGACAGCCAACAGGGAGCTCTGGCGTAGACTGGTCCATGAGGTCATGAAGAGCCGGAAACGACTGCACGAATGAACAACAAAAATTCCAATTTTTGATGAACCACATTAGATTCACCAGTAGAATCCAGTTACACATTTTTCCACTTTGTTAATGGCAACTTGGTGATTGAATTCCTCGCTGGCCAAGAAAAAAGACAACTTTTACAAATACTGTAGAAACCATTACTGAAAAAACATGCTAGTGATTATCTACTGAGCATGGCCATGAATTAGTTATTTATCTCCTTTGAGCTTTTCACATTGAGGATAGACAGGATAAAGAAATCCATCCTATTCTCTTAGAGTTCTTTGGATCTCATAGTAAATATAATTCCTCTGTTGGGTGAATGGACTTATTAACTAAAGACCCTCCTCATAAATGTACAGCAGAGTAACTTAGCAGCAGCAGCCTGACACAGCACCAATAGCCCAAAATGGTAAAAAGAACAAAAACACACAGACCAAAGTTATCTCTTCCATAAGAAGCTTTTCCCTGTAGTAAAATAATGTGGTTACACTATTTACAAGAGCAAGTGTTCTATAATTCATTTATTTTGCAAAAATTTATTTATTTCAAACATTTACACCCCGTCCTTCTTGACCCTCGAGGGGGGACTCAGACTCTATAACACAAACAAAGTTCTTTATACTTCCTTCATTGCTTCCATGCTGGGCTTCTTTCTTACGCAGATAAACAGCTTCACTCTCACATAGCCTCCTCTCACACTGAAATTACACAGGAGCTTCACACAGTAGCTTTATACACAGCTTTACACAAGGCTTTCATCCTGGGGCTTCTCTCTCCAAAACCCCTCACAGATTGCCTTCTCATACTCACAGAATAAGGGTTGCTTCCCACCGAGGCTTCTCTCATAGGCTAAGGCCCATCTCACACTGTGAGGCTTTCTCACAGACCTTTCTCCCACTGAAGCCTCCTCACACTGAGGGCTCTCTCAGACTGAGGCCTTTCTCCCACTGAGGCCTTTCCATACCGAGGCCTACCAACACTGAGGCCTGTCTCACTGAGGTCTTTCTCCCGCTGAGACCTCTCACAGGTTGCGGACTACTAAGCTTCAGGCACACCTTCTTATATAGGATGGCAGCTTTTGATGAGTCATTGCATGCATTTAACCCTTTCAGTGCTTGACTCATATTTTTGTAATTAAAAATACCTAGTTAATTTTTAGTATTTTTGACATCCTTTATATGTGACTAAGTCACCATTAATCCAACAAAACTGTCAAGGTCAGACGCCAGCCAATTAAAGAAGTATAGTTTATTGTTCAAACAAACACAAAAGAGCCCAAAACAAAACCACAGGGCAAAAAAAACACAGTTCAAAAAAGGCAAAAGAACCCACAAAATCCCAATCAGAATATAACCTGGATTATCCAGAGATATAATCCAGATTAAACTCAAAATGCTTAAATTCAGCTCAAACTTGCTCCATCAAACAACAGAAGCAAAACTAACTGTAGAATGATGTTCACAGCCACTCTAGTGAGCAGCAGCCTTTCAAGGGTTGCAAAATGTAACTCGAGCCTCAAACGCTGCAGGAGACGTCATGCTGAACTCCAAGGCTGGAATACAAGAATGCAGGGAGGATGATAACGCCAGCTCCAGAAACACAGCCGCAGACATGGAAAGGAGAGTAACGCCGAATGTTGAAGTCCAGTCCAGTCCAATCCAATCCGAAGGGAAACGAATAGCTGCAAGGTCAGGTCCCGATCCAATGGAAGTCACAAGGAGCCAAAGCAACGGGGGCAATACGGCAGCTAATTCAAATACCAAAACAGTGCAGTCCAGCAGAAACCCACACAGTTCCAGCCCCCTTTGCTGCTAAAACCCAGAGTATAACTTCCGTCCCAAAGTCTTCTTCCAAACCTGTCTTCTGTAACACAACGATCCAGAAAGCGCCGAACAAGACACCTTGCCGATTGCAAAGTTACAATTGCAAACACTCCCATTTTATCTACAATTCCTCATCAGAACTTGATTCAGCCAACATTCTTGTCCCAGCTGAATCCTGTTGCAACTCCTCATCCGAACTGGAGTCGCCCCTAGATCGGCCCAACCCATCCCCAGCTGTGCTTCTTCCACCACTCCTCCAAGTAGTCCATCTCTGGTCTAATCCTGAAGTTCCCCAAGACCCATCCGTGCCTTCACTACTCCAACCTTCAAACGTGCCACTGCTTGTGGGTTCAGCACAAATATCCCGAATCTCTTGAACCCTTGTCCAATCCAACCCATTAGACTCAGAGTCTGATATCCCACCATCCATATCATTTGCATCAAAACCTTCAAAAGAATCCTCATCTGTTGGCTCACTAAGTATCTCCCGGATTCTTTTCCTCTGTTGCTCTTCATCATAGTCTTGCTCGCAAGTAGTTTTCCTGCCTCTCCTAATACAACTAGTGTTACTATCACTGCCACCAGACTCTATCACAACAAAAAACATGTCCTTATCCATGGTGACTTACAATGGCCTCAGAGGAAGGACTACTTGGTCAGGACAGTTGTGCTTGAGAAATGTCAATCTAAAATATCAGTTCTACGTACAACAGCTGACATTAGGGTACATTGATCTCCCAGATCCTATGGTGCTTGGGTTCTTCACATTGAGGGTCAGGCATTTTGAGCCTTCTAACAGCGGATCATCCTCTTCAATGTGTGTTTGGCTTTTAATCAAATGATGTGTTTTCCATTCATGGATCTAGGTCCATCTTGACTTGAGTCTGTGCCCAATGGACATGATGCATCCATGTTCGTTTGAACCTTCCATCTCTTTTCCAGGAAACTACTTGAAGGTGAAGAGACCCGTCTTAGTTTCACTAGTGTTGGAAGCATAAGCAGTGGCTACACGCAGAGCGCCACAACCTTTGGAAGATCCGCTTACAGTGGTCTACAGAGCAGCTCCTACTTGATGTCAGCCCGCTCATTCCCTGCCTACTACTCCAGCCATGTGCAAGAAGAACAGATAGAAGTTGAGGAGACTATTGAAGCATCCAAAATAGAAGAAGCCAAAGAATCACCTCCTTCAGGAGAGGAAGAAGAAGGAGAAGAAGAGGGAGAAGGTGAAGGAGAAGAAGGCGAGGGAGAAGGAGGAGACGAAGAAGAAGGTAGTGTTGATTATCTCTTGAAAAAGCAATAGCAGATTGGAGATTTAATGGGTTGGATCCTGACTTCTCATCCTTGAAGGAGACCCATTGAAATTGGTGGGGCATGTACAAATTTGTTGCTATGACCCATTGACTACAATGACTCTGTGATGAGCATGGCTAAGAGTACATACGCTGTAGAATTGAGGCCGTTTGATGTCATTCTGTGATATGGGAAATGGGAGTTGTATGAGGGTTGAATGAAAAATAATGCCTCCACTTTCATTACTCCTCAACAGATGGCAGTCCTGGTATACGGTAGGTACTGGCTTGTTCAGTTGACTCTCCTCCACAGTTCCATTTTGATGGGAAGCCTTAGCATTGAACAGTTGTGTTGTTAAAGTCCCCCTAGGGTGAGAAAAGTGGTATATAAATACTGTATGTGTGTGTGTGTGTGTGTGTGTGTGTGTGTGTGTGTGTATGTGTATATATATATATATATATATATATATATATATATATATATATATATATGCTCTGTGCATAATGAGTACCTTAAAAACAAAAGAACCAATGAACGAAATCACACCAAATTTGGCAACAAAATGTCTCACAGCACAAGGAGTGACCATCACTCAAAAATTATGATTTTGTCATTTGGGAGGTGTAGTTGCTGAGATTTATAGTTCACCTCCAATCAAAGAGCATTCTGAACTCCATTGACAATGGTATTGAACCAAACTTGGCACACAGAACTCCCTTGACCAACAGAAAATACTGGAAGAGTTTGGTGGGCATTGACCTTGAGTTTGGGAGTTGTAGTTCACCTACATCCAGAGACTACTGTGGACTCAAACAATGATGGATCTGGACCAAACTTGGCACAAGCACTCAATACACCCAAATATGAACACAGATGGAGTTTGGGGGAAGTAGACCTTGACATTTGGGAGTTGTAGTCACTGGGATTCACAGTTCATCTACAATCAAAGAGCATTTTGAACCCCACGAATGACAGAATCGGGGCAAATTTCCAACACAGAACCCCCATGAACAACAGAAAATACTTAAGGCCATCCAGTCCAACTCCCTTCACCAGGGCAAGAACACGTAATCAAAGTCCTCCTGACACACAGCCATTCAGCCATAGAGAGAGAGATGTGATTCACACACACACACACACACACACACACACACAGATATAGTATCATAGATTTGAAAGGGATCCTTTAAGAAGGGCAATGATATGTTGCATGTTCCAGGGTGGGCAAACCAGACACTCTCCACATCAACACTGACAAAGAAACAACAAAAAATATTGTTTACCCACAAGCATAAAGAAATGACATATATTAGAAACCAACACTTTCTCATTAGTTTATTTTCCAGAGCACCAGACTGGGCCACAGCAACACGTGGCAGGGAATGGCTAGTAAATAATAAATAAAGTGTGAAGTATGGAACCCTGCACAGACGGTCGGTCATTGCGACTTAAGCAACATGCAGTCATTTAATTCTTGACAGCAGAAGTTGTCACCTCAACATCTTTAAACTTACTCGCCCAATGACACACAGTACTCACATCAACACAATCACCATAAACAGCTTGCATTCGCTGATGAATCTCCTTTGGGGTGACACCTTCTGCTGTCAAGAATTCAATGACTGCACATTGCTTAAGTCACAATGACCACCCGTCTGCGCAGGGTGACATCCTTCGCACTTTAACAACACAACTGTTCAATGCTAAGGTTTCCCACCAAAATGGAACTGCAGAGGAGAGTCTACTGAACAAGCCAGTATCTGCTGCATACCAGTTCTACCATCTGTTGAGGAGTTACGAAGGTGGAGGCATTCCTCACCAAACTATAATTCCCAGGATTCCATAGAATTGAGTCATGGCAGTTAAACTGGTGTCAAACTGCATCTATTGCTGCGACCAAGAGTCTGATGTGCAGTAAACCTCAGGATTGCAGCAGAAAGGGGTTTGTTTTTCTTCTAATCAGTTGGATCCACCATGGATACAGTGGTCTGTAATTCCTTTCATACTATTTTCCTTTCTTCACATTGTTCTCCCATTAGATGAGCCTCTTTGATCAGAGCTACGGAGAAATAGAGTTGAACAGGCTCATCTTAGCTGTTCTGTGCCTTTTGGAAGAATGATGCAGATGGTCCTCTGTATCCACGAGTTCTGCATCCATGGATTCAACCATCCATGGGCTGACAATATTTTAACGCACAGTGCTGCTACACTTTGCCTTTCTAAACTGAACACTACAATTGCACACTGTAGTTTTGACCATGTATATTGTGTGTGTTTTGAAATGTAGATTGGAGTGTTAGCATTTGAAGATATCGCTATATTGGGTTGCTGTAAGTTTTCCAGGCTGTATGGCTATGTTCCAGAAGCATTCTCTCCTGACGTTTCACCTGCATCTATGGCAGGCATCCACAGAGGTTGTGAGGTCTGTTGGAAGTTGTGAAAATTAGGTTTATATATCTGTGGAATGTCCAGCATAGGGGAAAGAAGTTGTGTCTGCTGGAGGCAAGTGTGAATGTTGCAATTGGCCAGTTTGGTTAGCATTGAATGGTCTTGCAGCTTCAAAGCCTGGCTGCTACCTGCCTGGGGGAATTCAATGCTAATTAAGGCCATTCAGTGCTAACCAAGCAGACCAATTTGGTGGGAGAAAGAACCCTTGTCTGTTTGAGAAAAGTGTGAATGTTGCAGTTGGCCACTGTAGCACTGAATAGCCTTGATTAGCATTGAATTCCCCCATTCAGGAAGCAACCAGGCTTTGAAGCTGCAAGGCCATTCAATGCTAACCAAGCTGGCTAATTGGGTGGGAGAAAGAACTCTTGTCTGTTTGAGACAAGTGTGAATGTTGCAGTTGGCCACTGTAGCACTGAATAGCCTTGACTAGCATTGAATTCCCCCATTAAAGAAGCAACCAGGCTTTGAAGCTGCAAGGCCATTCAATGCTAACCAAGCAGACCAATTGGGTGGGAGAAAGAATTCTTGTCTGTTTGAGGCAAGTGTGAATGTTGCAGTTGGCCGGCTTGGTTAGCATTGAATGGTCTTGCAGCTTCAAAGTCTGGCTGCTACCTACCTGGGGGAATTCAATGCTAATCAAAGCCATTCAATACTAACCAAGCAGACCAATTGGGTGGGAGAAAGAACATATTGTCTGTTGGAGGCAAGTGTGAATGTTTCAATTGGCCAGCTTGGTTAGCATTGAATGGTCTTGCACCTTCAAAGCCTGGCTGCTACCTGCCTGGGGGAATTCAATGCTAATCAAGGCTATTCAATGCTAACCAAGCTGGCCAGTTGGGTGAGAGAGAGAACTCTTGTCTGTTTGAGGCAAGTGTGAATGTTGCAATTGGCCACCTTGATTAGCACTGAATAGCCTTGCAGCTTCAAAGCCTGGCTGCTTCCTCTAAAACCAAGACTGTAAAAGCTGCAAGGCCATTCAATGCTAATCAAGGTGGCCAATTGCAATATTCACACTTGCCTCAAACAGACAAGAGTTCTTTCTCCCACCCTGGACATTCCACAGATATGTTGAATGTCCAGGGTGTGAATGTTGCAGTTGGCCGCCTTGATTAGCATTGAATGGCCTTGCAGCTTCAAAGCCTGGTTGCTTCCTGCCTGGGGGAATTCAATGCTAATCAAGGTCATTCAGGGCTAATCAAGGTGGCCAATTGCAATGTTCACACTTGCCTCAAATAGACAAGAGTTCCTTTTCCCACCCTGGACATTCCACAGATATATAAAACCCCACTTGCCTGGTTTCCAGCAGACCTCACAACCTCTGAGAATGCCTGGACTGCCATAGATGTGGGCAAAACATCAGGAAAGAATTAATTTTATTTATTTACAGTATTTATATTCCGTCCTTCTCACCCCACGGGGACTCAGGGCGGATTGCATTGTACATATACATGGCAAACATTCAATGCCATAGACCAGATGTTTTTGGCCTTCAACTCCCAGAAATCCTAACAGCTGGTAAACTGGCTGGGATTTCTGGGAGTTGTAGGCCAAAAACATCTGGGGACCCCAGGTTGAGAACCACTGCCATAGACACACAACATATATAGACAGACACAGAGGCAATTTAACATTCCAGCTTTTCCTAAGGGTATTCTGGCCACCAGGGGAGCTGTTGCTTCACTGTCCATTTGTGACACTGATGAAGTACTTCCTCATTCTTTGCAGGCTTGCTGGAGATTTTTATGGCATTGTAAATTAGTTAAATTAGCCTCCCCGCGTAGGCGGTGCCTAAATTTCCTACTTGACAGATGCAACTGTCTTTCGGGCTGCAAAGGTCGGCAGCAAGCTACACAAATTGGTTGGACACTCACTCCAACCCGGTCTGGCTTCAAACTCATGACCTTTCGGCCAGTAGTGATTTTAATGCAGCTGACTCCCAGCCAGCTGCGCCATAATCCCAGTGCTTCTAGAACATGGCCATTCAGTCCAGAAAACTCACAGCAACCCAGTGATTCTCGCCATGAAAGCCTTCGACAACACAATATAGCTGCATCATTGATGCAGGATCTCATCCATATTTCGTTGGCTTTGAATAGGGTATTGGTTTCAAACAGGCATTTGCCAATTTGCCAAGAATGTTTTCTCCAAGGACTACCATTGTATTTTGGAATGCTTTCCTATGTTCAACCCCTTTGATTTTTCTCCCTCACTCTTTCCCAAGGGGCCAAGGAAGAAGAGGAGGAAGGAGAAGGAGAAGGAGAGGGAGAAGAGGAAGGTGAAGAAGAAGAAGGAGGAGAAGAGGCTGAGGGAGAAGGAGAAGAAGAAGAAGAAGAGAAAAAGGAAGAGGAACCAGAAGTTGTTGAAAAGGAGGCACCCAAGGGAAAGAAGAAGGATTGAGAACAAAACACCGTAGTTTGGTTTCCCAGATCATTTGAGCTCAAGTTTCCGCACCACTTATTTAAGTCTCACAAAAAATGTCCGTAGGTTAAGAAGAAGTTCAATGTCTGGTTTGTTTTTGTTTTCTTTTCCAATGCAAAGTAACTCGAATGCTTGCAGAGTGTCCCACTGGCTGCTCCCAATCTACGCATGGTGTGTCTTTATGAGTCCCAGAGCAATGTGCAACCTGGCAGATTTCAAACCTTAAGTGTTTTAAATGGGAAGGGGAAAAACCTGGGAATGTCACCGAGGGGGTTGAATTGGGGGAGAAAGCAAGAGGTCTCAATTAGATTTAAAAACAAATGAATTACCTGGAAACCTTGGATGGTAAAAGCAATGAAGTCTGTGCAAATTCACCTAATCAATAAAGATACAGAGCAACTATACAGGAGTATGTCTTCAATATATTTCATTGTGTATTTTGGACAAGGGAAAAGGAAGGTCGTGGAACAAGGTATTCCAGCCATGAAATTGGCTCTCACAGCAGTATTTGACACAGTCGACCACAATCTTTTGACCCACTGCCTTGCTGCTGTTGGAGTCAGGGGGAGAGCTTTAAACTGACTCTCCTCCTTTCTTCACAACCATGGATAGCGAGTGGAGAGGAGAGGCCTGGTCTCTCTCTTGTGGGGTTCCTCCTCAGGGGGCCATTCTCTCCCCTCTGTTTAACATCTATATGCGACCACTTGCTCAGCTGGTTCGAGGTTTTGGGCTTGAGTGTTACCAGTACGCCGATGACACTCAGCTGGTTCTGAAGATGGAAGGCCGACTGGACTCTGTACCCAATTATTTCCATCAGTGCCTCGAGGCCGTTACTGGATGGCTGTGTGCCAGCAGGTTGAGGGTGAATGCAGCAAAGACGGAGATCCTATGGCTGGGTGGACCGGACAGTGGGGACATCCAGCTGCCTACCCTGGATGGCAAGGCACTACGCCTGTTATCATTGGTAAAGAGTCTGGGAGTCCTTTTGGACCCTCTGCTGACGATGGAGGCCCAGGTCTCCGCCGTGAGCAGAACCGCCTTCTTTCACCTGCGGCAGGCTAGACGGCTGGCCCCCTCCCTGTCCAGGGACGACCTAGCTACGGTGATCCAGGCTACGGTCATCTCAAGACTGGACTACTGTAACGCCCTCTACATTGGCCTTCCTCTGTCGGTGATCCAGAAGCTCAAGTTGGTACAAAATGCAGCTGCTCGGCTTCTTGCGGGAATTCAATGAGATGCCACATAACACCAATCTTACTACAGCTGCATTGGTTACCAATTGAGCACCGGATCACTTTCAAAGGGATGGTACTCACCTTTAAGGCCTTGCATGGTCTGGGGCCGATGTACCTGAGGGACCGCCTCACCCCCTCCCACCCCCAGAGATCCCTCCGTTCTGAGGACCAAGATCTATTGGAAATTCCCAGTGTCAAGACCTTGCGTCTAACAGCAACCAGACGCAGAGCCTTCACAGCAGTGGCACCATCACTCTGGAATACTCTGCCACCTGAAGTCCGTGCCTTGCGGGACTTACCAGCTTTCCGCAGGGCATGTAAGACATATCTGTTTCGACAGGCCTTTGATCTTTGATATTGCTGTTTTTAAATTATTTTGTTAGATTTTAGCCATTCTTGTAAGCCGCTCCGAGCCCCAGGGGAGTGGCGGCATATAAGTTCAAATAATAAATAAATAAATAAGGTACGTAAAGCTGAACTACCAGGATTTATGAATTGGCAAGGACACTGACAACAGCCAAGCCCTATCCCAGGGACTTTTTATTTATTTATTTATTTATTTGCAGTATTTATATTCTGCCCTTCTCACCCCGCAGGGGACTCAAGGCAGATTACAATGTACATATACATGGCAAACATTCAATGCCATAGACACACAACATATATAGACAGACACTCAGAGGCTATTTAACATTCCAGCTTCCGGCCACCAGGGGAGCTGTCGTTTCACCGTCCATTTGTGACACTGATGAAGTACTTCCTCATTCTTTGCAGGCTTGCTGGAGATTTTTATGGCCTCATAAATTAGTTAAATTAGCCTCCCCACATAAGTGGGACCTAAATTTCCTACTTGATAGATGCAACTGTTTTTCGGGCTGCAAAGGTCAACAACAAGCTACACGAATTGGTCAGAAGCTCACTCCGACTGGGGCTGACTTCGAACTCATGACCTTTTGGTCCGTAGTGATCTTAATGCAGCTGACTCCCAGCCAGCTGCGCCACAGTCCCACACTTTTGTCCCATCATAGAGTCGTAGAGTTGGAAGAGACCTTATGGGCCATCCAGTTCAATCCCCTACCAAGAAGCAGGAAATTTTTATTCAAAGCACCCCTGACAGGTTGCCATCCAGTCTCTGTTTAAAAGCCTCCGCCACATTCCAGGGCAGAGAGTTCCACTGCTGAACAGCTCTCACAGTCAGAAAGTTCTTCCTAATGTTCAGGCGGAATCTTCTTTCCTGTAGTTTGAAGCCATTATTCCATGTCCTAGTCTCCAGGGCAAGAGAAAAAAGCTTGCTCCCTCCTCCCTATGACTTCCCCTCACATCTTGATCCATGGCCCTCACCATGTCTCCCCTCAGCCTTCTCTTGGAAGGAAGAAAAGGCAGAAGAGACTGAAAAATGGTGGAGAGACCACATGGTAATACAAACATAAAGAGGAAGTTCGCTCACAGCTTTCCATTACGACATCATCAAAGGGGAAGGATACAGTGGTTGGCAGGAAAAGTAACAACAAAGCCCCTTTGGGAGGGAGGAATCCCTCAGGCTAGTCCTATCTCTAGCCTAGCTACTCATTGAGGTTTGGAAGCTTGATGACACAAGAAACTTGTGCAGTCCAGGGATGAAACCCAACATAATGTCAAGGAGAAACCTTTACCTTTTATGTGTGAAGGGAAGGGAAAACTTATAAATATACATTACTAGTGGTCCCCTGCCACGTGTTGCTGTGGCCCAGTCTGGTGATATGGAAAATAAAGTCATTAGCAAGTGCTGTAGTGACTTTATACTTGTGGGTAAACAGTATTTCTTGATGTTTCTTTGACAGTGTTGATGTAGAGATTGTCTGGTTTGCCTACTCTGGAATATGCAACATATAATTGTCCATCTTTAAGAGTCTCTTTCAAATCTATAATACTTTATCTCTCTGTGTGTGAATCATATATATCTATCTATATCTATGGCTGGATGGCTCTCTGTCAGGAGGGTTTTGATTACGTTTTCTTGCCCTGGTGAAGGGAGTTGGACTGGATGGCCTTAAGTATTTTCTGTTGGTCATGGGGGTTCTGTGTGGGAAGTTTGGCCCAATTCTGTCATTTGTGGGGTTCATTCAGAATAGTCTTTGATGGTAGGTGAACTATAAATCCTAGTAACTACAACTCCCAAATGCCAAGGTCTATTTCCCCCAAATTCTATCTGTATTCATATTTGGTCATATGGAATATTCATGCCAAGTTTGGTCCAGATTCATCATTGTTTGAACCCACAGTGCTCTTTGGATGTAGGTGAACTACAACTCTCAGACTCAAGGTCAATGCCCACCAAACCCTTCTAGTATTTTCTGTTGGTCATGGGAGTCCTGTGTGCCAAGTTTGGTTCAATTCCATCGTTGGTGGAGTTCAGAATGCTCTTTGATTATAGGTGAACTACAAATCCCAGCAACTACAACTCCCAAATGACAAAATCATATTTTTTGAGTGATGGTCACTCCTTGCGTAGTGAGATGTTTTGTTGCCAAATTTGGTGTGATTTCATTCGTTGGTTCTTTTGTTTTTAAGGAACTCATTATGACATGAGCATTTATATATATATAGATTGAGAATGGCAATCTACACATTGTTCATGACATTCCTGAAGGTACGGTCTTGCGCACCTTTGGGAAACAGATCTGCAATTGGCTTTGATTCAGAGCCCAGTTTTATTACTCAAAGAGTTGTCACTTCAGAAAATTCTGGGTGAGCTTTCCACCTTTCCTGCCCCAGGCAGAAAATAACTGTTGGTGCTTGGATGATGAAACACCCAAAGAGTGTGAAGGGGTTGTGCCAAGGAGAAGGTGTGCAATAACGAGAAATGTTGCAGAAGGCAGAAAAGTGACTAATGAAAAATCACAGCTCTACTGTTGGGATTAAGGTGAGGCGAGTAGGAACATATTGCTTCTTTCTCCCGGATGAACTTCAGTTCTGGCGTGAAAGGAGTGGTGGGAATGCTCCTTTCAGGTAGACCACAGGAGGACAATTGGAAGCCAAGGAGGCTCACATCAGCTGCCCAGGAGACACTGGAGGTAGTGTAAACATTGACCCATTTCATGTCCTGCCTTTCAATGGGGGCCCTGATCCCTTTTTGGGAGCCTTCTCAAATTTGGAGGGCAGATATCTGTTTTTGCTCTGGGGTTCCGAAAGATCAATTTTCAATCTGTCCATTATGGGTGGGGAGCAGGGGGGTCCCATACAATCATAGAATCCTAGAGTTGGAAGAGACCTCATGGGCCATCCAGTCCAACCCCATTCTGCCAAGAAGCAGGAAAATTGCATTCAAAGCACCCCCAACAGATGGCCATCCAGCCTCTGTTTAAAGGCTTCCAAATAAGGAGCCTCCACCACACTCCGGGGCAGAGAGTTCCACTGCTGAACAGCTCTCACAGTCAGGAAGTTCTTCCTAATGTTCAGATGTAATCTCCTTTCTTGAAGCCATTGTTCTGTGTCCTAGTCTCCAGGGCAGCAGAAAACAAGTTACCTCCCTCCTCCCTGTGACTTCCTCTCACATACTTATACCCAGCACCTCAATGCATGGGTGAAACCAGATGAGAGACTCCCCCCTGGGCGCACAGAAGACTGGGCAACTTGGAAGGCGCTGAACAGACTGCGCTCTGGCACCACCAGATGCAGAGCCAACCTCAAGAAATGGGGCCACAATGTGGAGTCCACGACATGCAAGTGCGGAGAAGAGCAAACCACTGACCACCTGCTGCATTGCAACCTGAGCCCTGCCACATGCACCATGGAGGACCTTCTTGCGGCAACACCAGAGGCATTCCAAGTGGCCAGGTACTGGTCAATGGACGTTTAATCAACTACCAAGTTTGCAAATTTTGTGTTTTTTTTCTGTTTGTTTGTTTTGTTCTGTTAGAAATGTAATACAATGGTCTGGTTGCCCCTGACACGATAAATAAATGTCTCCTTTCAGCCTTCTCTTCTTCAGGCTAAAAACATGCCTGGCTCTTGAAGCTGCTCCTCATATGGCTTCTTCTCCAGACCCTTGATCATTTTAGTCACCCTCTTCAGGACACGTTCCAGCTTGTCAATATCTCTCTTGAATTGTGGTGCCCAGAATTGGACACAATATTCCAGGTGTGGTCTAACCAAGGCAGAATAGAGCATGGGGAGCATGACTTCCCC